GGGTATGCAAGTGAAAGTATCAAGACTGCTTTAAACGCGGAATGACTGTTACTATAGTAAACTCCATTTTGAAGCATTTTCATTTGATACCGTTTTGGATTCTCCTACGAAAAATAAAGTCCATTTGTATATGCATGGATTCCTATAATCCCAAGAAATTTTATGTGCGCACACCTAAACCATAACAATGTATCATAATCACATTTTTCCACCTTAAAAAAGTTGACATTGAAGTGTCTGATATAGGGTACTAAGTACAGATGTTCATGTTGTAGCATGCCAAGTCTTATTTACGTTTTCCTATTGATGTAGTTTGGTTTTATTTTAGTTTCAGGGGAGACTCTCTATTTAATTGCAAATTTGGTTTAAACATTTCAAGTTAAAATTAAAGTGAACGAGGTAACTGCATATCATGAAGATAGATCAAGTGATAAGTAATGCTTTCTCTTACAATATGTACGCGTATGCAGTCACCGTCATCGTTATGAAGTCACCTTATGAAACGTATTTCAATGTTTTCATGCCTTAAATGTTGTTACATTTCAGTCGGACTGTTTCCTCATAATAAATATGTGTCAGGACACCGTATAACATTTTGACATCTCCAATCAAGAACATCAAGGCAGCGAAGCAGCAAAGAAAGTCCCTTCCATTGCTGCCTTGATAAGAAACACGGCATGATGCTTCATATGAACACCCACGTACAATCTTCAATGTCATCTCCTCGTATGGACTGGCAGAATCGTGCTCCTCTTGTGGAACTGGGATATTACTCTTTTTGTTCGGTCTCCCAACACACCAACCTGGACTGAAACTACAGGGTGGGCCAAAAAAATTGGGTTATCTTTATCACTCCACAACACTGGTCACCAAGAGTTTGCTAAAATTATAAGTGTGCCTCCATGAAGGACATTCATTTAGCTTTTGAATGATGTCAATAATATAAAGATTTATGGCTTAACTACCAAGCAGTTAGATGAAGAGCAGAAGAGGTGGCGCTGAAAAATTGGTGCCATACTGCATTTCAAACAGAAAGGAAACAACAATTTTTCTGGCGAATCCTAGGGCATTATGCCTGAGTGCCAACACTCCAAATAGTGACATAATAGAAGTTCCTGCAAATAGCAACAGATGGGACTTGGGTCCCACTCAGAATCAATACGGGGCATGACCGACTTATTTCCCTTTGGGAATGCATGGAAGAACTAGAGTATGAAACGGACCTCTTCGAAAACTTAGACCCTCCCCTACCTCTCGCAGTGTCGCCTCTAGTTACACTCTCTACTCTATGGTTCAGGCTTATGCCATTCAAATCCACACGTTCCTTTATCTGTCATTGAAGGTAGTTTGTTTAACTGTTAGGTTGTTCACTCCAGAGAAAGTCCGACTACGAGGTGGGGGGGGAGGGGGTGTGGGGTGATACATGCCCTCGGCCTATATCGATTTTCATTCATTGACATCCAGGAAGGCCTGTCTGATCGAAAAACCTGTTGTATTAGCATGCGGCACGAGGCCTCTGCCATATGCCTTTCTAGGTTATAGACAAGGTAGAAGGACGAGGGTTGATGTGTAAAGGTATGCTTGTGGATGGGAATTGGTTTTATTTATTTTGCTCGCTTCGTCCTCCAGCCTCATACATCAAATTTTTTGCTGGGCAGCTATTGCGTTTTTCTACAGTGTATGAACTATGGTCAATCGATCGATAACTGACCTTTCTTAACTCCTAGTATTCTTATTTTCACATGTGTAACCTGCGTCTGAGCTGTCTATGCTGCCCTGTTCGCGTATACAGTGTGGCCACCCAAAATATGACAATAAAGGTTAATTTAAAGCGAAGACAAATATGTGAACCTTGCAGTAGAAAACACCTAGAAGCGGTTCCGAGCACATGCAGAATATTTAGAGGAGCAAAATAATGATTTTTATTTATTTAAAAAGTATGTCCCCCATGCGACTCATGTTAAGGCGTCGTGATGTTCGTTCAGCTTCCTCCCAACCCCAACGTTACGGCGGCCTATTATTGCGACCGACTTGGGGATTGAGCCAGTAACTCTCATCGGTTGGCCGGAACGTGACAAAGTGCGGTTCCTTCACGACGATGCCCGGCCGCATACCGCAAAAGATGACCCACTCATACTCCTCGTCCTCGGATGGGAGATTCTGCGACACCCACCGTACTCCATGGACAATTACCGTCGGACAATTACCTTTTTCGCCCTGAAGAACTGCCTCAAAGAGAAAAAGTTAGACGACCAGAAAGACCTCGAATGCTACTTGCGACAGTTCTTTGAGTCTTAGCCCCCATCGTTCTACCACGGTGGAATCCATTCCCTGGTTGGAATGCGGAGATATGTCGTGGAAAACAGTCGTGCTGACATTGTTGACAGATATTTTATAGTTGCTGAATAAAACTGTTTTCTCAAATATTGTCTGAAACTGCAAGAACTTTCTGGCCAACCCAATGCATGCGTCTTGCAAGTGATGCATTTCGGTCTCGTTCCCCTTACCCTTACTATTCCCAGCAACCCCCCGAGGGAGGGTGATAGAAATTCATTTGGAAGACAATTGAATTTCGTGCGTCAGAACCTACTACACTCCTCCAAAGGATGGTATCCCAGCAAGACGACCGTGCCAACTAGTATGTGCGAAGTTGAGCGATGCATGACATCCAAACTCACTTGGTCTCACACACACGGACTTCGTGTTGGGATACGTACAAGACCGAGTGCATACCACGAAACCATAAAAGTGAATGAAATGAAACAACACATCATTGAGGTGATCGACATCTGAAGGCACGCCTTTTTTCCAACTCTTGGCTGTCCCTAAGTTTCCGAGGCTCTACAAGTTTCCCACGCCATGTTGGTCAAGTAAAGACTCGAAGCAAACAAAATGGGCGCAATACACAGCGAAAAATGCATTGTGGGTGCAAGTACAGTTTCATTCGGCTGTCGCCAGAATAACGAAGAATATCCTCGTTATTCGAAGTTAAACCTAGGTCATGCATCTTTTTTCATATTGCTGCTTCCGGTTTCAGGCTATCGCGGAAGCTCTTATTAAGAAGGGAACGCCAGAGGAAATCGTGAATTTCGCTTCTATGTTGCTTTTCGCTGACATCGTTTGTTCGGACAATCATGAGATCATATTCAGTCGATATCCCATTGTCTTGCTCTGGATATTGTCCGTCTTCATCGAACGTGTACCGAGATCAATGGTTTTGTTGCGAATGGACTCTCATGTGGCTGGCCAAACCAGGAAATGTTTTTTTTGGCGACAAAAGAGAAATATTTAGTCTGGATTAATGAATCGATTTTTTTTAGCCATCACACCAGAGTCTTGAGGACTTCATCACGGAGAACGCGCACCAGGTTTTCAACTGTATTGAGTTTGGCTTCGCCAAATGTAGCTATGTTTACCCAAAACTGGGCGAATAACGAGTGATTTTTCTCGCGTTTTCTTCATAGTCATTAAAATACCTATCGGAAAAGTACGCGATTAATGTTTAATTTCAGAGTATGGATTAATGAAACGTGACGTCATATTGAAATCGTACACGCAGTTCTCCAGTGACTCCAATGACCTTGATACAATTTCCAAGAAAAGTATTTCCTCAACACATTCACGAACTGGCGCCTTTACTTCGTTATTTCGTATAACCGGCGGCCTTCGACATATGATACTCCAATGCCTCGCATTCCTTCCATGTACATTTCTCCTTCCGGCGTCGGTCCATCTCTGAAGGGGTTATTGGAATCTTTTGGGAATCTTGTTCGCCTTTTCCTGTAGCATACCATCACTCTCGTGATGAGTGGCTCGTGTCTCGAACCAATAACGTGTGGCATCGCAACCTCATCCAGCAGATGGATCGGTATTTGGCCTCAATAAACTGATAGTATTCCTTTTCGAACTTCCGCAGCCTGCTTCTCAAGTGTCTCTTGTCTTGGTCCACATGTATCCGGACAATGTGCCTCCAGAAAAAAAAGAACATTTTGAATTGCAAAAGTAACGGCAAATATTTGAACTTTGCGGTTTAGAACGCTTACAAACGGAAGAATGTTGTTCCGTACGCCAAATTAAAAAGTGCAACACGGGTGCAGCGATTGTTTTGTAGGTCGGGCGGGAAGCAAGTCATTTTACACCGGTTTCAAACTGTTTATTCAACAAATTCAAAGGCTGTACGTCATGATCAGCTCAGGCTTTGTGCTGTAACTTATGATGACAAAACCCAATTTTTTATTTTCGGAAAATTGTGGATTCAACTCACTAGGCCATGTGCCAGTGCATTTACAATAAATTTGGAAATATTTGAGACAGAAAGTGGCATATGTATCTCTTCCCGCATGTGGATTCCGAAGGCTCCGAACATATTTGACGATGACGATGGTATCTCCCCATATAAAATAATACACCACAGGGATTCACGAGATTTAGAATCAAGTGAAAACGTACATGAAGGCGGGAGCAAAATAACTTGAAGGGGAAATATAGGAAATAAAGCTTCCTAGGGATGCAAAATGTTAATTCTCATAAAAACGATGCAAGAAAGTGAAACCATGAATGGCCATTGTATAGATGAAATGGGTCAATCTTAAAAAAAATAATTAGTTGCAACGGTTAACCAACGCTAGTTTCCTTGGTTTTAGTGAAGTTTTGATGGTGATAACACGTGTACCAATATTTTGGCGATAATTATTGGTAAAATTTATGGATCGCATATCTGTGCATATTGGGTGGAAAAAAAACCTCTTTCGAATTCACTGGGGAAGGCTGTGCAAAGACCAAATGTCAGAATCTCCGAAAAATGAACAACACACACGCAAAATTTGAAGAAGAGAGGAGAGTTCCTAATATTGTTGGTAGGAGAAAGACCAAGAGAAACTGAGAGAGATGGTGGGGGGAATATGGGGTTGCTGAATATAGTAGCAATTGCGTGCAAGAAACACGATTCTTCCCGAGAAACATAGACTATTCATACAAGTAGAAGTGCCACACCCCCCCCTTCAATTCATCCCCTCGCAAAACTGAATGTCGCAATATTCCCATTCAGGATTGGTGCCCTCTCCATTGTAACACCAAGGTGCCTCCTTTTCGAGGTCGGGGTTGCGACAGTAGTTGTGACGACCGTCCATGTCTGGATCGGGGAATGCCGGCAGGTAGAGCATGGTCGAGTGCTCGTTTGGCGTTTGGCTCAGCCAGGGCTGGCACTTCTTCCCCGACCGTGTCACGTTCTTCAACCCCGAGTACTCTCGTCCGTCCTTCGTTTGTTTGCATTCCGCTGGCTCTGGGCATTCGAGAAATAAGCGAAAAACTAAATATATTGGATACATAACGCTATGGTTGTGAAATTTAATGTTTCGGCGAATGAACGAACGAAGTTAAATGACAAACTCAACTTTTAAGAGTTTGAGAGAAATAATTTCATGAGGAAATGGATACTGCAAAAATGAACGTGCAACGTTTACGTTCCGTCGAAAGCGAATAATTTTTTTTTCTTCAACGGCGAAGATATGAAGGTCAAAGGAGAACGTATTGTCTATTCTGCAGCAAAAGACACATTCGATTGAGGACAAAAGATCAGATGGATGAAAGTCAAGGAATCAATGGGAGCTGCGTTTGTTTGGCTTCTGGCAGGTTTAGGGAGGCTGAAGGTTTACGACGCGCTTGAGTGTCGTCAGAGAATGGACGGCGTGAAATGACAACTTAGAGATATCTGTTTGGATCCAGCTTCTCCCGATCGAACGAAAGGAAATCGACTGCCGTGATGTTCGAGGAAAATCCCACCATTCCCCATGTGTTCGTCAGGGCAGAAGAGCATCAGACGGAAAAGTACCTTCATACGTAGACCTAGCAAAAAGTTACCGGAAGAGTTCCCGTGTGCCCCAAAGGTTGTGGTATGGCAGGTAAACAAAATGATCGATAGTTTTATCTCTGGATTACGAGCGCAATCGGTAGGTGGCTCCCCAACCGGGTGTGTGGTGCGTCCGTCACTTAGTCGAGGAATGGAGTATAATATAGAACGGATCGAGTAATACGCGCGGTCGCCAAATAGCAAAAGCAGGAAAGGCAGCCACGGCAGCTGCTCTACAGGAACAGAAATGGCTTCAAACACTTTTCTAGGCCTCAAATAGTCGTAGGGAAAAATTGAATCGCAAGCCAAGGGGACTACTTTTAGTGTGGTCATCTCACCAATAGCGCCTCGTTCACATTTACCCTATAGTAAATACTTTCCTGTAACTTTTTACTCTGCTCGATCTACAATGAGCATAAAAGCAAAGCATCGTAAAATCTATGTGATCCACACCCAGTGGAGTTGGTGGAAGTTGACCGAGTGGACTATTCAAGCACCTAATGATGCAAAGAAGTACTGAAGAAGTACCTAAAGCAATCGATACTAAATAGAATGTACTGGCTTAGGGTAGTGCTTCATAAGCAAGGGCTCGTTGCGACATGCAGAACTCTCTCAATCATTCCTTTCCTGATGCCTGTGATCCAGCATCATAGTACCAGGATTTCTCGTTTCAAGGCACACCTTGCGAGCTGGCAGTAAGAGCAAGGGAATATAGGGAAGATGGAAAAACCTCATTATTTGCTTCGTGCAATGAAATTTCGTCGGCGAAAGTTAATTGTGGCATGAAAAAAAAACAACAAAAGAATGGGGCAGGCTTTCCTGAGCAGGCTTTACGGTATAGGAATATAATCTTTTCACACAAAGCTCCAACGCGTTAAACTCAAGAATGGTCGCTAGATTATATAATATGCCATATTTTAGGTTCTAGTAATCTAGTTGTCGCAAATTAAACGGTATTTCATTGTTACACTTAGTAAGAAAAAATGGTCTGTTCATCTTCTTCACTTCAGGTCTTGCCTTACATTAAGGATGACCTGTAAACAGAGAGGCAAAATCCACATTTGCATAGATTGTAACGACTCACTGGACCCGTATCGGTCTCCAGACTGGACGCTGGTTTCTTCCGACTCGCCGAAAGCGCAAAAATGCACGTCGCAATACTCCCACTTCAGGTGGGGCTTTCGGGAATCTCTGATGTTGCACCAAGGACCACCCGGGTTCCCGTTCGGGTTGCGGCAGAAATTGTGAGTGTCGGTGAGTTCATCCGAGAAAGATCCCTTGAGGAGCCAATAGTTCCTATCCGTGTCGCCACTGTCCACATCCAGCCACGGAATGCAGTCGAAGCCGGAGATGGTCTTGTCCTTCACGCCCACGTATTCCCCTCCCTTCTGGCTCACTTTGCATTCCGGCACGCCTGCACGTGCAAAAAAATTGCCCCCCCAGAACCATCAGGTCTCTTCGATGAATACATCATATCGATGGATAACTGAAAAATCGAATGCAACTTCGAGTCGATAATTTTTTACATCATAAAGCACGTTGATCATAATTTATTGAAGAGGTTTCAAAAATGTTTATTGTCAAAAAATGCATGGCCTAAACGGTTTGACACATGAGGGAAGAGAAAAGAGCGAGGGGGAGAGAGAGAAATTTGAATAATTTATTGCAGCAGTGGATGGAATCGTGGTTAGCTGAACTGGCGGCTCCGTTTGAACGCACAATTCTGGGAAATCACCAAAAATTATATTCGAATATAATTTTGAATGAAAGGTGACATAAACAGTTCCAATAAAACTTGCAAGTGCCGCATGAGAAAGGGATTGGAGAGGCTTGGTTCATTTGAAGACGATTTGGAATATTGGATTTGGAAAATTCGTGAAATTTATGAGTTACAAATCAATGTTCACTGTTTGTCCATACGAAAATAATCCTATAAGTTCCTTTAACATTTTTGAAGCGTAAAAATCGCATCGAATCCTATAGGAATTTTCCTTAAGGGTATTCAGTGTAAGTGAAATTGTCAATTAAATGGAATTTAGTTAGGTATTAATTCTGACATTTTGCAGCAATGACATATAACCTAATTGATTTCAGTTGCAGTGGAAGAATAATCGATTTATTTGCGCTTGTTTTCATTGAAAACTTAGAACTTGTAAATTCCTTCCTGCCGGCACGATTTAACTTCAACTTGTGCCATTCGTACTGGTGTTCCGATGAAGATGGAAACATAATCCATGGCTCTATGTTGCCGACGCTTTATAATTCCGCAGAATGCTTTGAATGTCTTTCGCTAATTTTTTCCTTGAGAATCGTCTAAGCACCGCTCCTCTTTCTGTCCTCGTACCTTTTTCATTAGTTCAATGGAAGACCCACCAAACCACTCCAGTGCTATCATTCTTCTTTTGCAGTAAGTAAGATTTACAGTAAAAACCGTGTCACTCAAATATTGCAAATCTTTGGTTTCGCAGTGATAAAGATGCCTATTTCATCTTCTCCGAAATTTGTGAATTTTAATCTTGCATCAGAATCATCTGGAAACTGAGACTTTGGACGGATCTAATCGCAAATCCTCTCACGAAATCATAAGGGGGAGTGAAGGATGTGCGAAGCCTCAATACCGGGTGTCCATGGACTCGGAGGCACATGCCTCCTGGTGTGTATCCCTCTCCATTTTCCTATTCGATATCCATCACCACATTCCTATCGCTTCCGTCCGTCGGAGCAGCTGGGAAGCATCATTTACGACTCACGAATGTACCATGGTAGCCAGCCTAGTTAGTCATCCGTAATGAATGGAAAACACTCTTTTTGAGATTTGTTGCATACGGTGTCCGACTGTTCCTTAGCCCAAATAAATCATGCCCACTACCTTGCACGTTGAAATACCGTTAAATATGCCTGAAAACCCATGATATAGATAATCAATGGGTTATGAGCCAATGGGTTAATGCAACTAAGAGCCCATTGGAATCCCACGATTCTGTTATTTAGCGATACTTACAGTACCATCTCATCTGCATGTCCAGCAGCACAGGCCTTAAGATAGAGCTGATTGTGCTTCAGCGAGTATCGAACCCCATTGGGTTTGATGAATAAAGATTTTAAGAAGGACGTTTAGCAGCATCCAACTTTAAAAGTACAAGAAATATTTTCCCTCGGACAGAAGGGATGTTTTAGCATTTTACCGACAGTTTCTTGTGATATCAGCAGATCATGACACTAACACTATCAGTGGGTGCATGTAACACAAGCTGCTTCTTTCACCAGGTTTTATTTGAGTCTATGAAAACAGAATATCGAATTCCAATATTTCCATCCACCCTCCCTCATTGGCATGAAGGGTATGCATTATCAGGGTTAAATAATAATAACTTTAAACGTACCTCCTAAGATACTCAATGCATGGCATAGGGTAGGAGAGAGGGTGCTGTCCATTAAATAAACTCGTGCTATCTTAAAATGGGTTGAGGCATTCGCACAAGTAGGGTTGCCAAATAGCCACTACGGTTAAGACGAAGAAGAAAGCATTCTCATCCGAGGTTCAATGTCATAATTCTCTCCATATTACGCCTGACAGGGGGAAAAGCATGCACTGCCACAAAGGTGTAGGTTCGAACCCTTATTATTTGTTTTTCAATTTTAAATTGCATGTAAAATTTACTAGTGTCTGTCCTCGGTCGAAATATGTGACTGATCAAATGAATGGCGATCGCCAACCTGAAGCAACGTGCTCTTCTAATTTCAACAGAAATCTCACTTAGAGAACGAGAACAAAAAACGTCAGTTCAGTCTGAACATATGCTGTGAAATGCTTATCCATCCTCATTGAGAGTAAAAATATGAGTATTCATATTCCAATCCCACCCTCATGCGAAACGAAGCTAGTTCGATTTCTCACTGAAGTCATTGCAGAGAGGAATTCGACAAAATGTCATCTTGAAGCCATCATCGTCGATAAAGCACCAGGGCCTGGCCAATCCAGTCGGGTTCCGACAGAAGTTTTCGTGGGAGGACGTGTCCAGGTTTATGAAGTGCTCCTCGAAGAACAAGACTTCATCGAACCCTGCATCCAGGGATTTGTACGAAGAAGTCACTCTCTCGGAGTCCCACCTGAGGCATGGCTTCCCTGTCTCGGTCACGTTCGTTTTCCCGACGTACTCCATCCCCTTCTCCGATAGTCGGCAGTCAGGATAAACAGCCGCTAATGAGAAAATTACTATGAAACCCTGATCGTTTTCCTCATTAACGATGATTCAACGCATTCGGTAAAAGGTGACAGACCGAGGTTTAGTAATCATGCTCGGCTGGAATGGTATCAACGCATATTCTCTCGCAATGAGGAAACGTCAAAAGAAATACGAGTGACTCTCGTTAAATGCACGGAAGATAAGAACGGAACGTGCAAAACCTTCGCAAAATCACAAGATTTCCCTGGATTTTCGGAGTGCGCTTAGGGAAAGTGGCCACTGCGAGAAAACTACAACAGCAAATATGGCAGTACCAAGCACATGTTAACATTAGTCCTCCGTCTGAGAATACTTACCTACCTGTGCCTAGGAGACTACTTGTGGATTTGTGGATAAGCAGGATTTTGACGATTTCAAAGTGCCGAGATTACCACCAGTGCCAACATTCGCAGCACGTACCCAACGCGTTTTCGCATATCCGCGGTTTCATGTCGGTATATGGAGACTATCACTATCCCTGTCCGCAGGCGCCGTAGAAGCTTCCTATTATTATTGTTATTAGCCTCCCGTTTTACGCGTTTTCGATATACGCGGCGATTCTTGATAACGCAATTCACGCGTATAACGAGAGTCACCTGTACAGTTAAATCAATAAGGCGATCGCGTCATAATGACTTTACCTTGTGCTTAATTCTCTTGTTCCCTTAATCCGCCAAGAATTCACAAACCCTGCATTGTCAGACATAATCTCGTCCTCTTTCATCTGAACATACGTTTCACATGGAAAGGATATATTCTTCAGTGATTCACAAATATTGGTCAAATATGGAACTGCAGTTGACATTCCGTGAGGGACTTGCGAAGAACTCATGATTCTCACTAATGGGATTCTAAGGCGATCCACGTCATTTCAAAGTTTCACATTTTTCCCACAAGAGGGACCCACCTGGACACAGCTCGTCATCATCCCGAAACGAAGCATCCCAGGCATCGTACGGCTGGAGGGAGCAGGTTGCGTAGTGCTCATATGACCCGTCCGTGAACCCTGCAGGGCAAGTGAATGAGACGGTGGCGCCTGGAGGCGCCGGGTATGTCCCGTCCCAGCTCCTGTAGGTCATCTTCACGCCTACGTCCTTCATCCTTGGGTGCTCCTTCAAACACGACGCTGTACCAAAAGTCGAACAAATCGGAAATATGTTTCGTGCTTCCCATCCCATTCATCCAACATGCAGTCTTCCAATATGGACTCCTATGTGGCTGGCCGAACCAGGAAATGGGTGGGTACGGATCGTCGTGATGCCACCCAGTCGCCAGGGACAGAGCTAATTTTAGAGGAGTTTGCACATAAGAAGAGACAATGCTTTTCCTTTTCTTAATGAATGACCCCGGATTAACCCTTTCAGACCTGGCGTCCATTCCAATGGACATTGCATTTACATTGCGTCAATTTTGCATGGCTCAGTTGCATCGGATGCCTTCTTTCACCCATTAGTTTTGTAATCTTCAGTTATTCAATTAAATGTATGATATATAATATGTGGTATGATATGGTAAATTTATACAAAACATGAAAACAACATATGAAGCATGAAATTTTCAATTACTATCACAAAAGAGTTCAAAAATGCAAAAAATGATAATTTTCTGAAAGCGGTCTTAATTCATGTCTGAAAGGGTTAAATACATTATGGTGTTTCTTTACTGTAAAAGTAAACTATTGAGATGATCATCGCATTACGCTATTCCTATGACCTAATATCCAAGAGTTGGGAACACTTTACGCGCAATCTCGAAGGAGTTTCTCGTATAGACATGGTACATATAGCAAACGATGTTTCATCTCCTCAGCGCCTAAACCGATCCCTCATCATCACTCTTACAACAGCCTTACTTCCAACAACTTCGTTAGACGTAGGCCTGCGAAATCAGTCCCCTCGGGGCACGTACTTTTCAAGTCGATCTTAATCCGTAATACGCAATCCAACAGCTATTTCTTTTCCTTCCCACTCCCTTAAAGGTTGAAAGTGAATGAAAGTGGTTTCTCATCTGCGGATGAGACCTAGGCTGACAAAATCATTCCCTCCGAATTGTGCCTCCAGGGCATGTACTTCCAATGTCAGAATTTTTCAGTCAGCAACCTAACAGCTATTTGTGAAACAAGTTTCAGCCTCCTATCATTTCTAGAACATCGTTTGATTTAGTGTCACTCGCTCGCTTACTAAACCCCTCACGATAACCTGTATATATTGATACCTCAGTTTCAAAAGTATTTGAAGCAACACGCCAGAGACACCCTATGTCAGGATTTTGTGGAATCCTCTTACACCGTGGCGATGCCGATGCACTCATAGAAGCACGTCCATTCGATTTCCTGACTAATGAAAATGTTCAGCTGTTGCCGCATCTACCCTGCTTAACCGACTTGTTCTCTTGTGGTATATTTCTTTTTCTTAATGTGGATGAGAGTATGAAGGGGAAATAACTCAAAGACAACAACAAGATACAAGCTCCCAAGGAACATATGACGATTATCGCTTTAAAACATTCCAGGGAAAGCTCATTCAGAAAGGTCATTTCACCTAATGCCAACGAGCTTCATTTCCAGAAAAAAAGAAGTGCCTAATTAGGAAAATCTCGTACTTGGGACCCATTGTATGATGCCGATAGATGAATTAGGATGAAAAGAATGGCCTAAAAATATGACGTAGGACCCATGAACTCGCATTTCGAGAGATAATCATTTTGATTATTGATATTGTCTGTCTATAAATTCCCATGTTGAACAGAACCCGTAACTGACACTAACATTTTCATCAATCAATCGCTATAGGCATATTCACTGACGTCCAAAAAGCTCCATTTGACGGATTTCGATAATGCGATGAAATACATCACAACAGATTCATGTACTCGAGAACGGCAAGTGGCTTGCCGTTCTCGAGTACTTGCCGTCTAAGTGGCTTAGGGGGAAATACGAAGAGCTTTTTCTGTGATGCCATGCTCTTCCTTCGTTGTTATGAGAACTTTCTGTCTCGCCTTTCCGATTCACGAGAAACTTTCATGACTTTTCTAAATATTATTTTAAAATCGGTTGAAACGAAATTTTCGAGGAAATGGTGTTAATTTCTTGAAGTGACAATGAGCACTTAAAAAAATACTACGAAAATTAGGCGATTTTTTTCTCAGACGCATCATTATTCTTTCTTTCCTTTGGAACGATAATCCTTTTCATAATGGGATTGAGGAGTTGGTAGGTTAATATAATTAATATCGCATGACTCTCACTTGGCATTGCAATACGTCTGGCGGGCAAAGACAATTGCTGTTCTCATTACCCGCACCAATATGTAAGTCTTTCCTCGCCCGTTTCATCGCCATTTCCTGTAAATTCATGCTTTCATCCGAGAGTGACGTGTCGTACCACAAAATAAAATCGAAGGACTCACACAAAGAAAAGGCCTGATATCCATCGGCTGGCATCATCTCGCGGTCGCCAGCGACGATCAGCTGACACGATCCGTCTGATCGTCTGAAGTTGAATGCTCTACAGGAACCCCGGATGCCGTTTTGAGCGCACTTCAAGGAACAACGGGCCAAATTCGTCTCCTTGGACTCCACTGCCACATTTGCATATCTCTTGCCGGGGGATTCCGCCCAATATTCCAGGCGTTTACCTTTGGAGATCACGCCTGGAATCAGGAGGATCATAGGGAACAGGAAGGGAGTCCACGCGATCGCCATCGTGAAGGGCGATTGAAGGACGAAGCGAACCCTGCGTTGGAGTCCCACGTTCTATTTATTTAGTAAAGAGATTAGTATTGTATCGATTATTTGACTAATAAGGCATATTGCGAAATTCTCGTCTCATTAATATTTTGCAGGCAACACAGGGACCCATTCCGAAAAACACTTGCGTCTCCACCGTCGGAATGAAAATATGAACCCTTGGAGAAGTTTGAAGTGGACGCATTTCTGAGAATTTAGTGGACAAGAAGTCCGGGATGCAACAAAACATTTCTCTAGGCATCCCAGAAAAAACTGAAAACGGTACCAATAAAGTTGCTGTATCAAATTGAAAATAGCAAACTTCCGGGTCTAATGATGTATTATCAGTAATATTTCATGTTCCCGCAATTCAACCGACGTATGGCCCGCAAACGCGATGAGTATGATGAAAGTAAGTTTTGGAAGAGGTCCGTCTCGCACTCCAGTTCTTCCCTGCCTTCCGAACGAGAAATAAGTCGGTCACGTGCGTATTAACTCTGATTGGGACCCAAGTGCCATATGCTGCTAATTGCGGGAACTTCTGGTATGTCACCATTTGGAGTGTTGGCACTCAGGCATAGTGCTCGCCAGACGAGGGCTTGTCTCCAGTCTCCTGCCAGAACACGATCGGGAGTTCCACATGTTTTCCCCGTCTCTCACCTCATCCTCCCAGAGGCTTGCTTTTTCTTGGGAGGTACGAGAGAGAATGTTATCGTGTCCTTTCTGTCACTCTGATCATTCTGACGAGAGACCTCCACTCATGTCTATGAGATTGAGCAAGAGATATGCCAAGAATGAGCCCCTCACGCCCGTCCTTCTGTACCTCGACTTCGCAACACTCATCATGCAAGACTCCTGCCTATCAACCCTTATCCGATTTGTTTCAGGGGGGAATTTTAGGCGAACGCACATAGACCTGAGAAAATTGCCCAGCATTCTTCGTTTATCTGAAAATGTTTTTGCAAGAATAAGATGTGGAGAGAGCTGAGAATGTTTTCCTATAAAGTTTAGGCATATTGTTCTTAAATATAACTGTACGGAAAAAAAGTTTTAGGTATCGGTGTTTGAAGGGAAAAAAGTTGGCAGTAGGCTTTTTAAATTCATGGCTGTTTTTAAATTCATGTTCCTAAGAGGAAGGTACTGTACATATATTTTCTGCATGTGCATGCAGGTATATCTCAGTCTTTTAATATCACGGCAAAGAGAAAGCGATTTTTATTCTGGCAAGAGTGGATAAATGGGAAATATGTTTAAAATCCCACTTCACTGTCAATAGAGACCTTCCCGGGCCTCGCTGAAAGTTACTCCGATTAACTCGAGACGCTCGATCGAAATGTTCGGGGGAAATTAATCCTTCCATCTGGTGAAGCCATTTTATCTCAAGAGATTTAATTCTAGCATCCAGCCTTGTTTACGAGGATATTTCTTTCATTCCTTTTGCTATGACAATCATTTCCTGGTTGGGTTGGACTGGGTCACTCGTTCACACCCCCATTCCGTCCACGTCGAACCAACAACGTCTCGATCAACAAATGTCGACTAAATTTTCGAAAAACCATCTACACATATCGGAAAGGGCCCCAGATGACATAAAAGTTCCCGACTTTAAACGACTACGGATGAAACTCCATGCGAGACGTCTTTCGAAAAAGCACTCCGTGTCGCGTACGGAGGTGTCTCCCAAAAATGTAAATTATATCCGTCGTTCAGGTTCAGGAATTACAATTTCTGCGCGATGTCTAACGAGGACATTAGTCCGCCTGCGTCTGGCTGTTCTGCTGAACTTTCGGCGGATCAGTCCCATGGTTTGGGAGCCATCCGAGGTTTTCGGTCGCTACGTAGTGCGTCGAGAGGGCAGCCGACTGAACTCGTGGATTCCGAAGAACGTCACGCGCTTGGACGAGGCCGATCCGAAGTTCGTGGATGTCTTCCGCGGGTCGGGGTCTCCTCGCTCGCGAGGTCGCAGTTCCTTTCGACCCTTCGCGACTGCCGGATCCGTCCTCGAGAGCTTAGGCCAGAGATGCCAAACTTGATCTAGCTGGGGTAACCCTTCAGGAGTGGTTGGATTCACATTAGCAAATCATACGCCAAAGTTTGAATTGCAAACAGGCTGGAAAAGTCTGTTTTTTTTATTTATAAAACCAACCAGTGAAGAGGACTTCGCGGGCCGGGGCTAAATCGACGGTTTGACACCTCGGGACTAGGCCCGACCCGAAGTTCGTGAAAGTCTTCCACTGGTCGTCGGCTGGTATAACTGTTCTTTCCAGCCCAGTGGGAGTCAAATATGAAGTCCATTCAACATTTCATCCAGGTAATCTCACTCAGTGCGTCATCCGACATTCTTGTCGGATTTTTTTGGATGGTAAACCGGATAAGGGTTAATCCATGCTATTAGGCTGACTCATTTGCAACTACGCGGAACGGTGCTCTCAATGATGCGACTTGCATAGGTTTGATTCACTTGCCATTCTATCAGGAAACCTGTCGGCACTGTGAAACGCCAATAGGCATTACATTAACGGCGAAATCCCATCAGGCAGAGTCGCATAGACCGGAAATAAGCGAAGGGAATGAGCGCTCCCGGCATTCATTCTGTTCTTACGAGAGAAGATATTGAGAGTCCGGGAAAGAATGACTGCACCGCCGTGTCATCAGTTTCAGCCAGTGAACGTGGGAGGCCTTATTTAATTTATGTTTTGGTACAGTTGTATCTGCTCTACGTATCTCTATCTGAACGTTCTTGGTTCCTGACATTTACAGCGCTTGCTAAACAACCAAGGCTTTTCTTCAATCGATCGATTTTATGCCCAGTGAGTTGCAGGCCTCTTTCAAAACTGTTCTTCTCAATGAGACAGAGATTTCAAGCTTGATGGCACGAATCTCAGGGAGGGTGTCTTTTGCGTTCCCACAAATATAAGCTTCCATGGAAGAATTTTTGCCTTGATGTCGTATGATCAATATTAGATTTAAATGATCAAATGTGTCTAAATCAGAGCCGTAGGTCTCCCGCGGACACGTTACGGCCCCGCCGTCCCGCATGGGCTTTGCCCGTGTCAGGGATGTTTCCTTAAAACTCGCGTGTGTTGGGGCTGTTAGTGTGTTTCGTTCTGGAGAGAGTCTCCTAGGTGTGGTTGAACAAGTCAGACCGTCGGTGTCTTTTGTTGGATTTCCTGCCTTGCAAGGAAGACTAATCTTCGTCTCTGTCGAGGACCAGGCCTGTTTGTGAAATCAGCGTTGAAGCCCTCATTGCCACTTCCTCCTTTGCAATCAAGTCCTAATCACCAATTAGCATCGTAGAGCATCTGCGATATTTCCTTTCTTTCACAATTTCACTTGAATTAAATGCTTGTTGTTTCTTGTTGTCGAGCACCCTATTTCATTTGTCATCAGTCGTCTCCTTAGACGGCTTGTCCTGTCAGTGAAGTGAGACCGGACCCGTTTGCCTTAGCCTAACCGCTCGTGCTAAATTATCTTTCCCATGCTCTTGGCCTGAAGTTAACGATAATTGTCCGCTTTTAAGGCCCTCCACACGACATAGACACCTTCAATAGAGTGGCTTCAATAAAGGCCGGGATATATCTGGCGGGGGAAAACGGGAAATGAAATGTTGTTTATTGAGAAAGCTACTGAACACTTGGAGGGGGATATGTTTGAGCTGAGGGTCAGACTTCCAAAAGAGATGAATGCCACTTTCAATGCTTGTTCAAGGACGTCCCATTCAGTGGATGTATGAAAGGTAATTAATCCAACTTCTGTCAATAGATGATTTCGAATTTCGCCTCATTAAGTCATGCATGAGAGAAAAGATCGTAGATTGATGGGCCGCGTCGGTAGGCATCATGTCAATGTATGAGTTTGATACCATGTGGCCACGTTATGTTCCAGTCCAGGTTGGTGGGTTTTCAGAACGAGTAAAAAGAGTAATACCCCAGTTCCATGAAAGGAGCACGATTTTGCCAGTCCAAACGAGATCACATAGAAAGTTGTCAGTAGGTGTTCATATGAAGCCTCATGTTGTGTTTCATATCAAGAAAGCAATGGAAGGGACTTTCTTTGCCGCTTCGCAGCCTTGATGTTCTTGATTGCAGATGTCAAAATGTTATGCGGTGGGCTGACACATATTTATTATGAGGAAACAATCCGACTGAAAGGAAACAACACTTAATGCATGCAAACATTGAAATACATTTCATAAAGTGACTTCATTGCGATGACGGAAACTTCATACTCGTACATAATATGAGAGAAAGCAGTTCGTATCACTTGATCGAACTTCATGTTATGCAGTAACCCCGTTCACTTTAGGGAACACAACAAAAACTTCATTCATATTTAAACCAAATTAGCTATTAAATTGAGAGTCTCTCTTGAAACTAAACTGAAACCAAACTACATGAATAGGAAAGCGGAAATAAGATTCGGCATGTTACAACATGAACATTTGCACTTGGTACGTTATATAAGACATTTCTACGTCAATTTTTTTAGGGTGGAAAAAAGTGATTGATATATTGTTATGGTCGAGGT